CCATTCTGATGGTTGTGGGCCGAGAGTATTCCATCCTGGTAGGATGATTGCACTCATAGTATATTGGCATTCCAACCCGAAGGTTAAGGGCCAAGGGTATTCCAACCCGATGGTTGTGGGCCGAGAGTATTCCATCCTGGTAGGATGATTGGACTCATAGTATGTTGGCATTCCAACCCGAAGGTTGAGGGTCAGGGGTATTCCAACAGGATGGTTGATTGGGACCTTAATATGTTGTTCATTGTTGTATGTGTATGGTTATGTGTGTATGGGTATTTGGGCTGAACTCACTAAGCTTTCGGGCTTACAGTTTTAGTTTATTGTTTCGGGTACATCGGGAGATTATGGCAAGGCAAAGGCGTGATCGTACCGCTCCTCATATTTCAAGATTTTTTGATTTGGTTTTGGGGATACTCTGATGTTTAAACTATTTTGAAAACAAATTGTAATAACTTAATGGTTTTTGAATGGATTAAAATGTTTTAAAATTAGCGTAAATTTTATGTGTGTTACAAACAACCCAAAAACAGTAATAAAAATTTTTCATTTTAAAAACCATTAAATTCACACATCAGGTATCATAAAGTCAACCACAAAATATGATGCCAGCAAAACATCATAGTACAGATGAAAACAAGTGTAGAATCATGAAGGGGCGATATGTCATTACAGCGGGTCTTTCTCTATCGTACCGAAAGTATCTGAAACCATAAACATAAACTGTAAGCATAAAGATTAGTGAGGTTCCCAAAGTATCACATACCAAACATACAACTTGGTCTAGCCCTAGGGTATGATCCAATCCAACATATAATTATAGGCCAAACCATAGGGTTTCCTTCAACCCATCATATACTAATAGGCCCAGACATAGGGTTTATTTCAACCCAATTCATATAATAATGGGCCTAGCTCTAGGGTATCTTTCAACCCAATCATAAAAACCTGCAAAAGTCACAAATACAGTTAGTATCCTACATACACAATTTAGTGGGCGGATGCATGTGCCATTGACCTACAAGCACAGTGAGAAGACTCACCTAGCGTAGAAGAATGTTAAATCCCACTCCGTCTATGTCAATACTAGAATGAAACTAATCATATAACCCTAATTAAGAATTAAGGAAAATACTCCAGCTCCACTAGTCCAAATATCAGTCTAATTCTTAATTGGGCAAAATACCATTTTGCTTTCCCAAGTCCAGCCCTCACAGTTGACTAAAAGCCCAAAAAGTCAAAAGGTAAACCTTAGTTGACTTACGCAAGGCATACCAAGATCTACGCATGGCATAGATCACCATGCCAATTGACTGGCTCAGAAGAGTGTAACACTCCAAAATCAAAGAAATTTAAATTTTTCAAAATCAACCATTAACCAATATTGTTTACAAAAAGAGTCATTATTTCAAAAGCATTAATTCAAGCACAGATTATTCCCAAGTCCCATTGACATAAAACAGAAAGTTGTGCACGATCATGTCTTTTCTTTCCCACGATCCTCTAAAGTACCTGAGACCATAAACTAAAATTTTAAACCAAAGCTTAGTGAGTTCCCCCAATTTATCAACACACACATACATATAACAGCATATACTGGGTCCACAGTTTAAAAAAATATTGGATTACGCCTGATCCCACAGTATGAGTATGGTTGACCAACTGAGCCCTCAGCTCATATCTGGATTGCTCCCGAGTCCACAGTATAAATCTGGCATGCCAATTGGACCCTCAACTCATATATGAATTGCTCACGAGCCCACAGTATGAGTCTGGCATGCCAATCGGGCCCTCAGCTCATATCTGGATCACTCCCTGGTTTGTTGGCTACTGCACAAAGTAGTAACGAATGTGTGTAGGCTACCACTGTAGTAACGAATAACTCCTTTATATTCAACTCACTTCCTTTCACCTACATGAAGACGCTAGAGTGAATACCCAATCATGTGTCCAATATTAGAGTTTTCCAACTCTAGGTTTCTCACATAGAAATAATATCTAGTCTTAGTGTTCCACACTTAACCCATTAAGGGATTATTCCATTAAGCTTATCTCACTAACAGGTTAATCATACAATGTGGTCGGTTATAATTCATAACTCGAAACCATCGGTCCAAAACACGAGTGTTGTGTAACGCCCGTGTTTCTAGGCTAGGCATCAATGATGATGTAACAATCAAGATTAACCTTTGTAACCCGTCTTGAAATAATAAAGATATATTATTTGAGTATTATGTGTTTTGTGCTTAATTGTGTGACTTAAATGAATTAAGGATAAAATAAAGCGTCAAAATGAAATGTTAGATAAACTTGATATCTATGAAGGATGTGGTAGTGGTCGTGACGAGGTTTCCGAATATATAAAGAATGCTGAAATCCGAGTTATAATGAAGAAGTTATGACCTGTCGAAGTTTCGCGATAGAACCGACACGACGCTGAATGACGTAAAATATGAATTTAAGATAGAGTGATATCTAGCCTTAGTGGTCTAAAAGAAAGTCGTATAATATGTTAAACCGAGAGCGTATGTAAAAGAACATCTAAATTTGACTTCGTATGAGGAAGCTATGATTTTTCGAAGTTTCGACTTAGCAATATGCAACCCAAATCTCGAGATAGAGATCGAGTGATATTCAGCCGAAACAATCTAAACGAGAATCGAAGATCTCGTCGATAGTAGTCCAACGGTAAATGGACAGATGAAAATGGACGTCAGATGAAGAAGATATGATTTTCTAACGGAGTTTTCCTGTCCCGACCTACTAAAATAATATAATAAAAGTTAAAGTCAAAATTACCCAATGAAGTCTAAAAGAGAGTTGTAGAGCATAATTTCACCTACGCGTGGATATAAAGAACGTCAAAAACAGAGCTCGTATGCGAAAGATATGAATTTCTGAAGTTCAGAACACAAAAATCAAGGTTGTGTCAGAACTCACGATGTGAGCACAGTGGTCACGACATGAGCACAGACTTGACGCCTTCCAGAGCAAGTGGACGAGTGGTGAATGCAGTGACCTACAGGGGTAACAACATGAGCATTAGAAACTCACGACATGAGTGCAGAAATCTCACCCTATAAATAGAAATCAAGGGTCAGCCGATTTTGGTTACTCCTCCCTTACTCTCCCCCTATGTATTACATTTTTGCATGCAACTCATACCCCAAACCCCCGGTATCACTCCTGAGACCCGAAGCGAGTCCCGAAGCCTGAATTCCCTGAGAAGAAAAGAGTTTTCGAGACGAAGCTCTGCTTGCGAGAAGCCCGGTGTGTGAAGATCTTCCAGATTTACCGAAGAATACTACTCTTAGAGCCGTAGTGTTGTCCGATCATCTTCTGATCAAGTGAGTGTATTTTCCTTTTCTTCTAACACATAGATATGAAGTATCTACTTTAGAATATGTGTTACGTATGTATAAATATACGTGTATATATATCTTATCTGTTTATTTAGAATGAGTATCTTATCAGTTTTTAAGTTGCATATGAATGCATATGTACATTGTTATCTACAAAAATGTTGGGTAGAAATTGGGTATATAGTTGATGTGTGATAAACTAATGAGAGGCCTTGATGTGATTGTGATTTAGTCATTCATCAGAATATAGATGAACACCACAGACTCCTTCTAGATTGTCCTGTGGAACGCTGGCAGGCTAATAACATGTAGGTGTTGGTGAACTTGGGTGTTCATTTGCTATATTCTATCCCCCTCACTACTAGAAAACAACCCTTTAATGACGCGCAAACAATGACACTCGCTAATAGAGGACGCGCATTTGTGCGTGCCCAAAAAAAGTAATGTTAGTTTTTCAAAATTTGAAGGATAGAGGACATGCATTTCTGTGTGACCTAAAATTAGTGTCAGAAAAAGAAAAAAAAGGAAATGCGGAGGGTGTCTTTCATAAAATGTGTGTCGTCTAAGTGTGTTGCTTTATAATTTTTTAAAGAAACACGTGTTTTTTTAAGGCGTGGTTTCACCTGCCTATTGTATCCCAAAAATAACCCCCCCCCCCCCCTCTTCCAATTACCAAGAAAAGCCCTAGGGCCTTCGTGTTCATAGCAACATCGCACCACCACCCAACCTCCGTTCTCGCACCGCCTGGTGTCTCCTACCATCTTCTCCAACCATTCTTTCCTGTCGGACTACACCGATAACAAAATCCCCCATCATGATATGCTAATGTTTGTATTTCTGTCAATTGAGATCAAATCATTCATGTCACGAGTGCTCATGCTTCACGTTCGTATGATAAAACCCTAACCGTAAAAACCATCATTCTCTAGGTCGAGAGCAATGATTCCATCAAGAATGTCAAATACATGATCCATTTTACTCTTTCTCCTCTATTCTTACCTCTAATTTTGATTTTGAAACTTCTCATCTTCTCCTCTATAAAACCCTAACCATAAAAATCATACGGGTTTCAATTGTGATTTCCTCCTCCATACTCGATCCCTACATCTACTCTCTACACATCTCATGTAGGATTCGTTCTTTCTCCTTCTATTTCTTTGTTTTCTCAGGTACAACATCATTATCCCCTACTTTTCTACTTGAGCATCCCATTATGATACTTTTCTACTTGATACAATCATCGGCGATTCAAAACCATCAAACCTTCAGCATCTATCATATTCGGGGAATTCATCCCAATCCATTAACCCATTTCATTTTTCATTAAAAAAACCCTAATTGGATTGGCAAGTTCATGAACCAGATGTAGCACATCCTAAACTGGGGATTTAACTAAACCCGATAGAGCCATTGACGAAATCTTTGGATTCAATCAACAAGGACTCTCTGTAATCGCGTAGCTTTCTTCAAAAGGGATCGCACCAGATGCTTGCTCTCTTTATCTCTCCGGGAACGGTGGTGGTGGTGGAATTCTAGTTCTAGGTCAGATAATCGAGCCAACCATGGTGTATACTCCATTAATCCAGTCAAAGTAAGTTATCTTTCGCTTATCTCTTATCACAAAACATTAACAATGCTTCAATGATTTTAAGACCCCAAGACTATCTTCTTCAACAGAACTCGGTGGTACAGGTACTGTTGTTTCCATTTATACCCTTGTCCTTGGAAATTATATTTTGTATATTTACTTCTCCTTTTGATTTCAGGATCTTCTGATTTTGGCTTGCAGTCATGATGTTTCCATTTGTACCCTTGTCCTTGGGGAGTATCCTTATATTCTTATACTCATTTCTCATCTTCTATATTTATAATTTTCTTAACTTTTCTATCTTTCTGAAGTTATATTTAGTCGATTGGATCCAAGAGAAAAACTCGTTATATGTTGTCAAAAAGCAATGATTTTTGCTGAAACACAGGTATAATTCTTTTAACACACACATATATACATACATACATTTATGCTTTTTGATAATATTATTCCTGAGCAGGTTAGATGTATAATTACAGCTGATGAGGTGTTTCTTATGACAGGCAATTTAAAATCAAGTTCCAAAGTATGTTGTCACCGTTTCTTGTAAATTATATCTTTATGAAATCAAATGGCACATAACATATATGATATATGATTTGGCATTTGGCAGAGAATGTGAGGAAGACTACAATTTGTGAGCTTAAACTCGATGAAGCAAATGTTAAGCACTTTAAGGAAGCTATTGACAATAATTATTGGTTTGAGTTTTTCATGGGTACACCTTCTAGTCTTTTCTTCTTTCTTTTGTACTTGAATCACACTTTTCTTCTCCGACACTCTTATTTCTCCCACATTTTCTTTGCGATTTCAATTTCTTTAGTCTTTGCTGCATTGGAACATAAATTCAGATGATCTTCCATTATGGGGTATGCATCTACCAAACCCTTTTTGTATCTTCACTTTATTTTATAACTAGTATTTTAATCCCATTTTTATTTAGTTATCGTGGAACTATTGTTGGCCCTATAGGATTTTTTGGTGAGCTACATTCTAATAGGAACATTGATAACAAGAATATGATATTCACACATAAGAATATCACTCTACAATACAACAAAGACCAGGTCTCCCATTTTTAATCATATATGAACTTTTACACTATAAAAGGTTCTCATAGTCACACCATTTTAATATTTTTACATCATGATTTCTTATTATTGTAGATCATCCATGTCAACCTCACTCAAGAGAACCCAAAACCCTTAGATGTTGGGAAAACCCTAGACATGACTTACTCAGTCAAATGGATAGAAACCAACATCACATTTGCACGCCGGTTTGATGTTTACCTGGATTACCACTTTTTTGAGCATCAAGTGAACACTATAAGTCTATAACTCATGTTTTAAGTTCCACTCATGGGGGTATAACTATCTTTTTGCATCATTGCAGATTCATTGGTTTTCCATATTCAATTCATTCATGACGGTTATCTTCTTGACTGGATTGGTTTCCATGATTCTGATACGAACTCTTAGAAATGACTATGCAAAGTATGCTCGGGAAGATGATGATCTGGAGAGTCTGGTAATGTCTAATAATGAATTTGGTAAGTTATTGCAATGAAGTTGTATACCGGCTATTGAAGTGTTTAGTTTTCAGGAAAGATATGTAAGTGACGAATCTGGTTGGAAGCTTGTGCATGGAGATGTTTTCAGGCCACCTCGCAATTTGGTTTTGTTGTCAGCAGTTGTTGGAACTGGTGCTCAGTTGGACCTATTGATTCTTCGTGTTATCTTGTTTGCAATTGATGCAACATTATATATTGGGTACGTTATTCTTATGCATCACATGATATGACATAACAGGTTATGATGCGTTTCACTTTGAATTGGGATTGATGTCTTAATGGGATAAAAATTGAAATTGGTTGCCCCTTTTGATACACTCTTGATCCCTTGGCTATGCAAAAGACATGAATACACTCTTCATCATCACTGTTGCAAAATGGCCCTACAAACTTTATTTCAGAAAGTGTTAAATGCTAGAAATACATTTATTTCATCATCCCTTGGCTTGTAATCAGATTTCCACACTTGAATACATTTATTTCAGAAAGTGCTAAATGCTAGAAATAGAACCAAACTTTCATTTATGTCTATTATGACATAGTACTATGAAATTCTATCCAATTATAGGTCATTCAAATACATAACCTTTTTCCCTTATACAAATGGATAGATAGATTTCTCAAATAAGAAAAAATTTAAAGCACAATGCTATAACTATTTAGATCTTTTAAAGTATAATGCTTAATAAGAGCACAATGTTACAAGCACTTTCACTCGTACTATTACAGCATTGTGTTGTTTTAAAAATCTAGCCGGTTATAGCAATATCATTTTTATTCAAAGTAATTTTCACTACTATAATCAGATAGATCTTTCAAAGCATAATAATGTCGGCCATAACAAGAAAAAAGAAATCGAACTTCAAAGCTATAACTAGATAGATATTTCAAAGTACAAGGCCTTAATAAGAAAAGAAATATAAGTGCAGTTCTGTAATAGAAACAAATAGAAGTAAAATGTTGCACTACACAGATAAATGAAAGTACAATGCTATTACTTGTTTTTTTTCATTTTAGAAAGAAAGACCTGCTTGCCTTAACCCTGATAAAGTGTGGTGATGATGATGAAAATTGTCATGTTGTAAGTGTAAATTTTTTTTTGTTATCAGGAGAGGAGAAATTATGACAACATTTATAGTTTGTTATGCTCTCAAACCAGCTTCTACTTTGGATACACAACCATGTTCTGTCTCGGTTTAGGAATCCTTTGTGGTGAGCAGTTAAAACTTATAACTTACGACTTGATGTATTTATCTATCAAGTGTTACTGAATCTTGGTTGATGATATTTACAGGAGTCGTTGGGTATTTGAGGTCAAATCTGTTTGTGAGACGGATCTACCGAAATATCAAGTGCGATTGATTGATTGATGGAAGGAAAGATTCCCCGGTTTTGTAGTTTAATGTGTGGATACCAAATCAAGGGTCTAAATGGGGATTGATTATATATATGTAAGTTATACTTTGAGCAGAATTAGTTTCCATAGGAAGGAAAGGAATGTAGAAAAATGCAATGCTATTGTTTTCTTATTATCAACAGAAAGGGGATGAGGGTGGGGGTGGGGGTAGCATGGTTGAGTTGAAGATTGTTGAACAAGTTGTTATATACATGTTCTAATGTATTCTTCTTATTCATAGGCGATTTCAAAAAGTAAACACTCTTAAATCTGTTTTTATTTTTATTTCTTTTATGATCATCAGTTATAAGCCTCAAAATTAGACATTATCTTCCTTGTTTTAGGGATATTTATGTGATTTTATCTTAATTATTATTTTCACTTGATGGCTCTATGGTTCAATATAAGTCTGAATTATCTAATGACTTCTGTTATGTAACAGAAAGAAGAGAAGACCTTGAGAGTAAGATAAGCATGACAGATTATCTAATGACATCTGTTATGAAATAGAAAGAAATGATGGTTGACAACTTCAATAGAGGTATTAAATTTCTTAATTTTCCTTAGTTTGACTGCAGTATCTACTTTTCTATATGTCTTTCTGTGATAGCAAATTCCTAACTTTGTTGTTCATTAGATGTCAAAATGGTGTAAGAGAAAGAGAATGTGCAGCTTAAAAGGATTAACACTGAGTATGAAAAAAACAAATTACAGCTGGAAGACCATGAAAAGAAACTGAGAACACGTGAGGTGATAAACGAACGTGCGAATAAAAAGCTTGACACTGAGAAGAAAATGGTACTAAGATTCGCTGTTGGCAATTTTGGAGCAGAAGAAGGCAAGTGATAGAATGTTGAAGTTGGCCGGAAAGCACAAGGTTTGTTAGTAGCTTTTTATTTTCCTTTTTTCAGATGAGCATATGTTTGGATAATGTTTCTGGTTTATTTTAGTAAATAAGTTATGAATACTTGTAAAGAAAGAAAAAGAGAAACTTCACCAGAAGATTATTGAGCTTCAAAAGAAGCTTGATGATAAGCAACAATTGGAGCTAGAGATCAAACAAATGGAAGGAACCATGGAAGTAATGAAGCACATGACTCATGAAGATGTTGAAGCAAAGAAGAATTTTGAGTCGATAAAAGAAGATATGAAAGAAAAAGAAGAGGAACTTGAGGATTTGGAAGAGCTTAATCAATCATTGGTAATTAAAGAAAGACTAATCAATGATGAGTTACAGGATGCTCGCAAAGAGTTGATTCTGTGAGCTTCTTTTCTTCTAACTTTATAATCAATCATGTTTATTGATTTATAACAAAATAATGTAATTTACCATTTTGTTATCCCACCTGATGTTTGGTTTGTATAAAACAAGATTTGAAGGAAATATGTGGTTATGGTAGAAGCTTTGGAGGAAACGCGACTCAAGCAAAACCAAACACACAGAGAGTTGTTGGCACATAGTAAGCTAGATAATGCAACTGTATATAAATTTTGCTTCTCTTGAGTCCATTTTTGTCATTACATTACTCACTATTGGAATAATTATTTGTATTTGGAATATTAGTGAAATAAATTATCTTTGTTATTTATGGTATTTTATTTTGTATTATGAGATTTTTAATGTGTTATTTAATTTGAAAATTACTAAATCTATCAAAATATATAATTTTTAAAACAATTAAATTTATGACATGCAAAAATGTATGTCGTCTTTCTTTATGATTAGGGCTTTAATGATACGCAATGCGAGTCGTAAATGTGTGTCGTAAGGTTACGAAACGCAAATGCCTGTCATCTTCTTTTATGACATGACCTTCCTTGACACGCATTGTGTGTTGTAAACGCGCGTTGTAAATGGTTGTCATAATTACGCGTCGTAAATAGAAGACACGCAAAAGTGTGTCGTCTCTCGTTATGACAGGGCATTTCTTGACATGCATTTGCGCGTCGTCTGAGCGTTTTACGACACGCATTGCGTGTCGTAAAATGCTGTTTTTCTAGTAGTGCCTCATGGTTGCCTTAGGACATTTACTGCTGAGGAAACCCCTTTGCAGTATTGTCCGTCCCGATGGAAATCCTAGATTAGGTCCCTTGTGATAGTTTTTGTTTTAGGGACGTAAAGTGAGGATAACGGGAATGGGTAATCAGGTTATTATTGGTTGGTGAAATTAAATATAATTATTTATTGTGGGTTGAAAACCCTATATGCTCACCGGGCTCCCAAGCCTGACACACTCAATTTATTTGTATTACAGGTAGTGGTGTGAGGGCATAAGATGGAAGAATCATCAAGTTATTTTGTTTATAAGCATGTACATGTATATAACTGTTGTATGGCTTGTAATATGTCATTTATGCTTTTTGGTCTGTATCGGAACATGACATCCCGAGTTTTGATATATATGAAAATACATTTCTTTAAGAAATGCTTTGATAAACTTTATTTTATCATGTATTGTTTTAGGGACAAATTCCTCAAATCTTTTAAATCAAAGGATTACTCTGAAATTATTTTAAAATCATAAATTAAACCGGTCTTTTCTGGTCGTGATTTTGGGGATGTCACAGTTGATATCAAAGCATTAGTTTAAGCGAACTAGGAATTTGTAGGATTTCTAGACTTAAACTTATAGTGCTAAGTGAAGTTTGTGAGATGTGTTCTGTATTTTAGACACAAGCACTAGTTTATTTTAGGAAAAATTGCCTAAAATGCTTTTATGCGCTAAATGTTATATGGTTGCCATATATGATGTTATTTGTTCGGATCTACGGTTTATTACCAACCGGATCTGGAAAACTTAAGTCTTTAGGATTCTAAGCGTAGGATTACGGTATTAGAATTAGCATGTAATCGTTTGGAGTAATAAGGATGATATGAATATCTATCATGAATGAGGATCTAATTTCACCTTATTCAGTGTATAGATTAAAAATGGTGAGAACGAGGAGTGGAGTTGGAAATGATGATGGAAACAGGAATCAAGTACCTGTGATAGAACAAGTAGTTGTTGTAGCAGCAGCAGCCGAGCCAATTACTATGGATGGTGTGCAAGTGATGATTCAAACTATGTTGGATCGCAAAATAGAAGAAACGAGGCGTCTGCTTCGACAAAATCGTGAAGAACTGTCAATTCACATGGAAGAGACTGAAGTTAATGGAGGGCAGTCTGAAGGAGAGAACTTTAGTGGGATAATTGGTCAAGATAACCCACCGATAGTTCGATAGAACGACTAAGATGGAGGAAATAATGGACTGGGATGCAAGTACAAGGACTTTTTGACTTGCAAACCATCGACCTTCACTGGAAAGGAGGACCCGATCAGAGTGATGGATTGGATCTCCGAAATGGAGTTAGCCTTCATGACTTGTGGCTGCAGAGGCAAGTTGCAGACCATGTTCGCAGTGCGTCAATTCAGGGGTGGAGTCGTTCGCTGGTGGAACACTCTCGTTAAGACCCTAAGCCCTAATGAACCACTGCAATTGACATGGGCAGAGTTCTTGGTGCAGTTCAAGCGTAAGTTCTGCTCGACCCAAAATCTATTATAGTTGGAGAACAAGTTTCTGATATTGACAAAGGGCAGCATGTCAGTTGATGATTACACAAACGCCTTCACAGACAAGATGGAGTTTTCTTTGTGCATCATCCCAGATGAGTAGACAAAAGTGGACCGGTACGCAAAAGGACTCCCATGGGAGTACAAGGTGCTAGTACGTTAGGCATATACTCTAGAGGCAACTATATGGGCTGCCAAGTTTGTTGAGAACATGATCAAGGGGAGAACCGCCAACAAAGTTGAAGTTGGTGAAAAGAGAAAGTTTGAAGGAACTTCAGGTTCCAGTAAGAAAAACAAATTTTCGAAGTCTGATTCGACAAAGTTTAGAGGAGGAAAAGGAGGCGAAGCAAAATGGTGTGAAAAGTACAAGAAGAAGCACTCGGGGAAATGTAGTGAGGATGTGACCTGCTACAAGTGTGGGAAGATGGGGCATTACACCAATGAATGTCCTTCTAACAAGAGAGTGTGTTTTGGATGTAACAAAGAGTGGCACATTTTGAAAGACTGTCCGAGAAAGAAAGTGGCAGCAAAACCCAATATTCCCCCAAAAAAAGCCGAAGGAGAGAGCATTCCAGATGACACTGGAAGCTGCGAAAGATGAATCTGATGTCGCTTCAGGTACCTTTCTTGTAAACAATTTTCCTGCCCAAATTTTGTTTGATTCTGGAGCCAATTACTCCTTTATATCGCATGAATTTGGTAGAAAACTAGCTTTGCCTGTTGATAGACTAGATAATGCTTTATTAGTCGAAGTTGCTAGTGGCAAGTTTATACCTATTAGCCATCACATGAGAAACATCTTCATTGATTTAAATGGGAATAAGTTCCACAAGGAATTATTGCCCTATCGAACTTAACGGTTTCGATATCGTGCTTGGAATGGATTGGCTTAGCGCCAATGATGCCAAGATATTGTACAAGAAGAAGATAATCAAAGTAAACCCATATGGGAAAGAGTCATTTATGGTGTATGGAGATAAACGCAGGGTAAATTCTGGAATCATTTCATTGATGAAAGCCAGAAAGTGTTTGGCCAAAGGATGTACATCATATCTAGCATTCGTAATTGATGCTAAGAATAAGAAGAAGGGGGTGCACAACATTCCGGTGGCGTGTGATTATCCGGAAGTGTTTCCCGAAGATCTTCCTGGATTACCGCCTGATCGGCAAGTAGAATTCCGTATTGACTTGTTACTCGGAACGACGCCAATTGCAAAAGCACCTTATCGATTAGAACCAATGGAGATGAAGGAGCTTATGATGCAACTACAAGAGTTATTGGACAAAGGTTTCATTAGACCTAGTTCATCGCCCTGGGGAGCTCCGGTGTTATTTGTAAAGAAGAAAGACGGGAGCATGAGAATGTGCATCGATTATAGAGAGCTGAATAAGGCAACAATAAAGAATAGATATTTGTTGCCAAGGATTGATGACCTGTTCAATCAGCTATAAGGCTCAAGTTATTTTTCAAAGATCGATCTGAGGTCAGGATATCATCAGTTGAAGGTGAAAGAGCAGGATATAGAGAAGACTGCATTCAGAACATGATATGGACATTATGAGTTTTTGGTTATGTCGTTTGGACTAACCAATGCTCTATAATCCTTCATGGATTTAATGAACAAAGTTTGTAATTCATTCCTTGATAAATCTGTGATAGTGTTCATAGATGACATTCTGATTTATTCGAAGAGCTAAGAAGAGCATGATAAACACTTGCGAGAAGTGTTGGCAGTCTTGAAGAAGGAGAAGTTGTATGCTAAGTTCCCCAAATGTGATTTTTGGATTAGAGAAGTCTAATTCTTGGGTCACGTAGTCAACCAAGAAGGTATAATGGTTGATCCAGCAAAGATTGAGGCTGTGATAAAGTGGGAGCAACTGAAAAGTCCCACGGAGATCCGAAGCTTTTTGGGATTAGCCGGATATTACCGAAGGTTTATCCAAGGCTTTTCTTCGATCGCTACTCCATTAACTGTTGGATTAGTGTCTAAGCCCGTAACCATATTTGGTAAGTACTTGACCCGGTTGTGCGTGGTCCTTTTGGGATGCCTTCACCAAAGCAACTTAACTGGAGAAATAAATAGAGAAAGAGGTTATTATGATTTATTAATATGTTATAAGAATAATATATTAAAGGAGAAATCATATTTGTTTAATTAATATTGGTCAATAATTAATTAGCAATTAATTTTGTGATCAAGTGTAATTAATTAAACTAGAGGGGCTGAATTGTAATTATGTACTAGTTGCAAAATAGGGCAATAGTTATCCTAGTAGTAGGATGGACAAATTCAAGGGATAGAATATCCTTGAAATCGTCCAAAGGTCCAAGAGATAAGGGTTATCAAGGCTTATCTTATGATTGCTTGGTGGGCAAGCAACTAGATAAGGATAAGGACTGAAACCCTAATCTCTACCCTATATAAAGACCCCTAAGGCATAAGAAATCGTCCACTTGATCCCTAGGGTATCTAGATCCGATTTCTACCTCCTCCCTTCTCTCTCTATAGCCTCTCCAATTTCTTGTGGTGTTTGTGAGCCATTAGAAGCACTACACTTGTGGTGCTTTCTTTCAAGACTTAGGGTTTGAAGATTTACGTTGTTATTGTAATATAACAACAAGAGGTATATGATCTAATCTTATATGTGAATTTCGAAAATAGTAGGCTACATTAGGGTTTTATTCATGTGTTCATAATGTTGTGTATCTAATAGTGAAAACATAGATCCAAATCTAGGGTTGCATGCACACATAGGATTGTTTGTATAAAACCCATCAGTGGTATCAAAGCCTTTGGTTAACTTGTTTTCAATTAGTACTATATAATTGTATGAACTTGACAAA